TTGAAGATTCCTTGGACTGCAAAAGTCTCAAATGAGGAAGTGTTAAGACGAGTTGGACATAGCAGAAAGCTTATGAATACAATTAAAATAAGAAAAACATCGTATCTGGGCCACATACTCCGAAACGATAAATACTCTCTGCTTATAAGTCATCATGCAAGGTAGAGTAGAGGGAAGAAAAGGCTTGGGAAGAAACCTTGGCTGAGGAATATCAGAGATTGGACTAACCTCAGTGTTGAACAGATATTTCACGTTGCAAAACACCGAGAAGCGTTTAAAGAAGTGATCGCCAACCTTCGTTAGAAGACGGCACAAGAAGAAGAAAATTCTGTTCCATGTTTCACCTTTGGTTGACCTTTTTTCTTTCTTCTTTGCGTTTTATCCAGCCAAATTTCCTTAACCGGTTTTTGTATTCTCCATTCTCTGAAATTGACCCCACAAACGCACAGAGTTGACGCACTTACACGTAAATACAAAAAGATCATGAACAATATAAACCTGCCAATCCACCAAGATACCGAGGATGCACGAAATACCCATCTCCATTCTAGAAAACCACCAGTGAAAACGGCAAGAATTATAGATGAGTAGTTCAACATCACGAATGGATAGTCCCAAGAATGGAACGCATGGCAAAATAACATGCTCTGCATTACCCACAAGCCGCCAGGTTTTGATCTTTCACGCAAATAGGATCCGAACCAGACATGCTACATAAATGGGGAAATAACCCGTCTCCTCAATATGACTGTGGGGAGAACCAAACCACAGAATAATAAACAGAATAATAAACAATCAGAATGCCCACTCTCCATGTTTTAGAGGGAACCAGTGTTGTTTATGTGGTGTGCATAGAAAAATTAACCCGGTTTAATTGAGTTACGGCAATCATAAACATACTATACAATTATATTAACATTGTTAAATATAATAATATAAATACAATATAATTAAACATAAAAAAAACAATTACATAACGTCACAAATCATATGTCTGTGTTATGTGTTTCCTTCTAAAAAATGGCGCGCGTGCTGAAAAACTTTAAAGGCGGCATCTGAGAGCGGACATTCTGATTGTTAATTATTCTGTGACCAAACCATCGACCACATTATTGAAGAGTGTCCCTCAAGATTCTACAATGGTAGCCCTAAAGACTTCCTGTTTGCAACTAGAGTCAATTGATTATATTAGTACACCTGATGTTTGTTTGTAACTATTTAAAGTTTATGATATACCAGCTATATTACTGGTGTTTGTAATTTTGTTCTAAAGGTGTTGTAATTGCTATGCAATAAATAAATAGACCTATATATTGACTTAAACACATTAATTTTTGTTTTTATTGTAATTTCAGTCTTGTTTATGAATTTATTGTTCATTACGTAGTATAGGTTCATCATTCTTTGGATTATATTATTAATATCTGTTTCCTGTCTTCCGTTATCTTCTAATTCTACTTCTAAGTATTGGAAGGTTCTTTTGATATTACTAGACTTTATGTTATTTTAACGGTCCTTTTGAGCTTAATTTTTGAACCTTCTTGTCCTTCTAATGGCGCCACAACTCTTTGTAAGTCTTGGCCTGCTTAACAATGTTCTTCCATTCTGCCCTGTCGGATACTTTCTTTCGCCACTGCCTAATGTTCATGGTTTTAAGACGATTTTTAAGTTATGCGATTTGTATTTCATCCAAAAATTTCTTTTATTAAGCATTATAATTAAATATTAATTATTCACATCCAGATGTCAGTAAAGTGAGTGTTTGCAATTCAGGGATATCCTTGTTACATGATGTCCCTATTACATCATTTCGCATTGAAAGGTAGAACCTGATATTTTTTTAAAATAATTTTTCTCTTGCGGTGCTTTGTTTTACAATAAGTTGTTTAAAATTGTGCTGATTACAAGTTGAAGTATAATAAGCAGCACGTTTTCGGATTAAAACGTTTAAATTTAGTGTCGTAAAGTTTTATTTTTCATTAGAAGAGGTTTTTTCCATCTCAATATCGTAAGTCTAAGATTTTATATGGCCCAATGGAGAAAAAAAAAAAGCATTAAAGACAATCAATTTCGTTGGAAACGAAAATTGCAATTTTAGATCGCTTAATTTTTTATCTTACTCAAGGGTGTATTATTAGAAAGAATAGAAAAGGCCATCGCAATTTGGATTGAGGAACTAATTCAAAGAAGAATTCCTGTAAGTGTTTATTTAATCCAGGAAAAGTTTTTCAGTTTTATGAGTTAATGAAAACAGTCAGAGCCACCAACTTCCACTTCCCAAGCTGGTAAAGAATTTTCAGCTAGCAAAGGATGGTTAACCGGGTTTATAAAAAGAAATGCACTTCACAACATCAAGATTACATTGCTTAGCTTTGTGCCCTCCAAAATGAATTGGCAGGACCCTGGTCTACCTGGCCTTTCGGCATACGACCGTTAGCGCACGCCACTACCCCTACGAGTCCGACACCAAGTGGAGGTGGCACGATGCCAGCACATCGTGGGGCTCCACCTCCCCCGTAGTACCTGTGTTGCGGGTCATGCCACCCTTGCGTGAGTTCTCCCCCCGGAGGCGGAAAGGCACGCAGGTGGTGGAATACCACCTCGCACGTAGACAGGTCGCCGCCGAGGAGTCACTCCTCTACCACTCGTTAAATCATTCCGAGGTGTGGTTACGCGCTGGGTCACCCGTTCCCCTTCCGCGGTGTCAGCTTCCGGGGAACCTCCGTACCTGGCTCGTTCAACCACACCCGACTCTTGTGGAAAATGAGAGTAGAGTGGTCCCACGAGGCGCTCGTCTCGGATACTATACTCTGTTTTTTAACCAGGAGGAGTAAACCAAAAAGACAGATTCACACCCGAAAAAGTTACTAAAAAAAGTCACCAAATACATCTTCTTTTTTTGTTGATTATCTCGGCCTTGCGGTAATCGAGTAATCAATATCGGACAACCTCACACGTCAATTTTAACCTAACTTTCTTCATTTATGTTTGAATAATAAAATATTTTTTTTCAATTCACTTCCAAGATATATTATTACAATAAAATCCCAATTATTACAATAAAAAAGGACGTTTTTCACATTTGATCCCATGTATATATATTTAAATATCGGGTGATCCAGTTTTATAGATCTCTTGAGTATATGGTATTTAATTATAATTTAGACAATATTTTGATCGGGAGAGTCAATAATGTTACAGATCTAAGTATGGTTTTTCACAGAAATGTGTCTTTTAATTTGCAAATAGATCTTATATGCAACAAAGCTATGCAAATGCATGTATCAAAAAGTTAGAGAGTATTCAAGATTTCTGAAATACTGTTCTTTTAAACTGCGTAGACCATATTCTTATTCTGGTATGATCAATTTCTTGAATCTAGTTTTTTTTCTTACCAGATACTTTGAATAAATAAGTGTGTACTTACAATTTCTTTAATGCTGGATTCTTGTTTAATTTTGACAGTGAGTTTGTCCCATTTGTTATCAACAAATAAAATTTACTAAAAATACTGGATTTCTGTGAGATAATCAACAAATCCAATCTATTATATTACATCCTATCACATCATAACCAGGAAGAACAAAACCAACTGTATCAATACAATCAAACTAAAACACAACATTACTTTACTAATATTCTTTTATTGTGATGAAAACAAAATGGAAATGCTTCTTAACAAGTATACACTAAATTTAAAAGATAGTTGCCGTTTTTCTTATGATAATTAGATATAAATAATATACATTTATAAACACTTTAAACTATATTTAGTATAAATATCATCTAGAAAAATATCACATTAAATACTATTCGCATATCACCAAGTATAAAAGTTATTATTAACAACTTACGAGTCAGAAACCGATTTATATATTAGAGGAAAATAATAATAAATAAATTTTACAAATGTCATTAGTGTCAATATGTCATAATTTAGTGGAGTAAACTTGCCTGCGGTTGGACCAATTGCAAACAAGCATTACGGCGCGGAAAATTTGAATTACTCCTCCTGGTTAAAAAACAGACCATAGGAATGTAGACCGGTGACTGAGATGACTAAGCATCTCTGTGCGTTTCTACCAACCCGACACCTCAAACGACGGCCCTTCACCTCTCATATCCGCCCATTAGTCGCCTCTTACGACAGGCAGGGTCTTCTGGCCCCGGCCGTATTCTTATCTCCTCGAGCCGGAAGGAGACATCAAGATTACAGTAGAGAGTACTACAGCAGATGAAACTGCAGCAAAAATATTTCCACAGGAGCTAGCGAAAATTATTGAAGATGGGGGCTATCGTGCCGATCAAGTATTTAACATCATTTATTGGAAAAAATGCCTAACCCTACTTAATCGCAAAGGATGAAAAAACTGCAAGTGGACATAAAGCAAGTAAAGATAGAGTAACATTATTACTTTGTAACAATGCATAGGGAGATCGGATGTTGAAACTGCTCTTAATAAATAAATCTGTTCGACGACGTGCTTTCAAAGGCAAAGATTTAAAGCAACTGCGAGTGCATTGGATGGCTAACAAGAAAGCCTGGGTGACATAAGCTATTGATCGGCACAATAGCCCCCATCTTCAATCATTTTCGCTAGCTCCTGTGGAAATATGTTTGCTGCTGTTTAAGTTATAAATATGATTAAGTTATAAATACTTCCAAAGAAATAATTAAATAATTTACATTTTATTATTATTTAAAATAAATTAAAGCAAATAAATAAAATGGAAATTGAATAAAAAGGAAAATAATAATTACAAAAGTATAACTATTTGTTTTTAATTATATAAAGATGTTTTTCAGGCCCTGTGTATAAAAGTTTTCACTTCCGTTTTTTGTTGGTATCTCCATAGTGAAACATTTATTTTTCGATTGTGCTACGTTTTAGTACCCACCAGTAACTTACTTACTCCGTCCATGGCCAATTCGGATAAATCCGGTACAAACGCTGCTAGCTTCACATGGATTCTATTTTATTTGAGATGTTGGCTACCCTGGTGACCCCTAGCGCCCAGCCAGAGTGGATTGTAAAATCAGGTATGGTTAACGGCATTACGTTTTTGTTAAAAAAACAATTGTGGGTGAAAGTGATAGAATAAGTAATCATTTAATTAGTGGTATATTTTTTTATTTTTTGACAAGAAATCGAGTAACTTTCCTAGTATTTTGTTAATCTCTGTTATTTTATTTGCGTTTGTCCGAGCAACTATAGAGCTTGTCAGATCGGGAAATGGCGTCTTTCCACATGGTGATAAAAATGATTTTAGGACTTATTAAAATCGTAAAAGAATCATGTGGTCTTTGTGACCAAATGAAAAATTTGTCAACATTTGTAGTAACAACTAAATTTACTTCATTCTTTGTACAAATTACTACGCGATGTTGCCGTTGTATTATTTAAAATAATATTTTGCAAAGCCGAAAAGTGTAGATTTAATTTGTTTTTGTGTTAGAAATACGTTTACGGCGTGTACTTTGTTTTAAAACGATCGATTTACCACATGTTATCTAACAACTTAATGCTAAATGCCGTGAAAAGCACTTAAATCCAATACTTAACTTCCGTAAATACTGAATATTTAGATTTCAGAAAATGAGGAAAAAATCTAAACACAGAATTGGATAAGATTTTGAGTATATTATAATTTACTAAATAGTATTATAATTCGCCTTATAAAAATCAAAACAGATTATTGACAATGTGAATCAACCAAGTATCCTTGGATGTACAGTTTGAACATGTACTTACATACTCTGGAAATATGAATAAATTCAGGAAATAATTAGATTTTGAAGTGGGCTGTCCTCAAAATGTGTATCATAAAATAAAGTACATGCCCATTTTAGTACATTTGACTTAGATTGTCAAGTTTATGATTACAAATTGACATATTTTCTTTATTACAGTTAGCTTGTAAATAGTACCTCTGTACATATTGTACAAAGAAAATGAGTTCGGGAAACAGAGCCACCTCCAAGGGTGGCAAAGTGAAGAGTGAAAAATCTCAAAAATCAGAGAAATCAGAAAATAAAGGTAAGTTATTTCTTTAGTATTAATCAAAAGTATCAAAAAATCTGGAATAGTAGGTAGATAATTTTGATAAAAGAAATAACCAATAATAATAATAAAGTAAAACTGTCTATATAGTACTAAATTTGAGAAAACCAGGTTATTAAAAAGAAGTTTATTTAACATTAAATTGAGGTTATTATTTTTAATAAAATCCCAGAACTAAATCTTTTACTGTCATAAAGGATATGATTAACTACAATCCCATTATTTGATTAAATTTTTAAATGAGGTAATAGTGCAATTCATATTAAAATATTAATTTTGTATCTTTTCATTAGATACATAGGTGAAGATAAAAAATATTAATAAAATACATTGCATTACAATAATTTAAATAACCCATAAATATTTCTTTTGTTTTCATATTTCTTGTGTACCTCTATTCTAATTTAAGGTTTCTTTACATTTCTTATTCTATCCTTGTGTGATCGGTACACACTGGAGGGACCGCAGACGTTCGGATACAATTAGCCTCTCTTAGCAAAGGCAATGACGTCGACTTTGCTAAGTATCAAGACAATTACTCTACACACACAAACACACACACACACACACACTACATTAATAAACTTATCTTGATTGAGACTGGCTGAATGACAATTGTCCAAGCCAAAACACACAAAAAAAATACATTTCTTATTTATTTGTGATTTATTTGTATTTGTCATATGTTTTAACATACTTTGATGATGATAAAGTATTGCTTATTATTTCTCACATTTTCTTCATACCATTCCAAAAATGAGGTTTTATGAATAGGGTACCAAGCATATATGAGAGGAATATAAACATTACAAAATTGTTTAATAACAACTGTATGTTTAGTGTGTGAGAATAAGTGTTTAATTTTTCTGTTGTAGGTAAATTATTGTTGTGTTGTTCTGCTTTCTTCTTTATTTGATATTTATATATTTTGACTTACCTAATTATTACAATATTATTTACATAGCTATTATCATTTTTGGTATCAGTATTTAAAGTACTTTTAATTGATGATTACTTCAAATTTGGTAATTGTTTTTAAAATTGTATATAAATATTTTGTATCAAGTGTCATTAACCTTTCGGCCTTTTTAGGAATATTTTTTCTAACAATATGTTTCCATTTTTATATCTTGTATCATTGTCTTATATGTCTTGGATACAATATAAAACAGGATAAATATATTAGAATTATAAATGAACACATGTATGTTTAAATTCCATGGAAAATATAAATTTTAGAAAATTAAAACTAATATAAACAAATAATTGGAATTGACTTTATAAACCTCTTTTTTAATACAACTGAAGTAAGTATTCTTATGAATGCAGAAACAACATACTATGTTATTGGAAATGACTTTTCTTTCGTGTTTACATTTGTCCATAACAATGTGTGACCAAATAACATTAAATTATCTTTCATAAGATAAACAGCTTTAGTGACAGATTCAAATTTAAACTATCCATCAATATAGTATATTTTACAGGTAACAAGATTCATGGGTACTGCGGGGATTATTTTCAGGGGGTGGATCTGCAATCTGTATTTTACAAACTCCTGCTCTGAAAAGATTAGTGGTTGTTGTGTTGAACCATGTATGTAGATTTTTCACCCAGGATATCCTTTCCTTCCTGGTCTTCGTTTTTCTTCTACTTTTCCTTGTAGAATTAACTGCAGCAACCCATATCTTTCTCTGTTCCTCATGATGTGACTGAGGTATTCGATTTTGGCTGTTTTATTGTCATTAACAACTCTTTTCCTTTGTTGCATTCTGAATAAAATGTCCTGCTTAGTAACATTGTCAGTTTATATAATAGCTTATAATTTTCCTGAATAGTAGATTTGTAAGGTTATCTAGGGCTGACAGATGCGATTTTCTAAATCTCCCACTTAGAAACTAAATATTTCACAAAGGCTATAGCGGGATAAGATGGTCAAAATTGCACCATGCTCGATTCAGTTTTGGGTCTGGCCATTGGAAAGGATATAATTAAGCTCAAATCCTCCAACTTCAAATTTTGTCACATAATTACAACTTTTATAAATTTTGTAAAGACTGTAGACTGGAACACACTGTAATATAATTTTTCATACTAAAACAATGACAACAATGTTACTTCATGATTTATAAAAACTGATATGTCACTTATATTTAAAAATTCCGTAACATCAACCCGCGGAGTTGAAATTTCCCTAACATAGCCAAAAATACAACATTGATACAGAGCTGCTCCATATTTCGTAGGCATCAACATGGTATATTAACAAAAAAAATATAATCGTGATTACAGTAAGAATTTAAAAAAAATAAAATTGAATGAATCCCATTTGTTCTTTTATTAACTCAATAATTCACAAATTCTTAGCCTTTTGTTTTGGCTATATTCTGCATCCAATGTGACTTTAATCCACAGCTGATATATGGAAATACATATTTCTAAAACTTACATCACCATATGACAGTGGTCTATTCAGATAAAATGATTATATTTGAAGACTAAAGGAATATATTTTTGTAAAATATTTAGATAAGTACATTTTTTTGGGGCCTTAAAGGTATCTAATGAAAAAAATAGATATGTATATTATTTATTTATGTAAGAAATAGCCTTTTAAGCATAAACCTCTTTCTGATAGACCACTGACATGTATCAGAGTGTTAATCCTAAACAACTCTTAACGGAGGTGACCTGTGTGGGTGATTCATGGATATAGAATTGAAATTTTCTTCGCTGTTGCTAGGACCTTAGACTTGGCTCGAAATGAAATTCGTTTTTTGTGAATCCCAAAGATATCTGGATTTTTTAATTTTAGTTGTCAAATGTGGAGAACAGTAAATCAAAATTATACTATTTATCAACAGAATCATCATCTTCAATTATATGAGAGTAGAATAATATGCAGTTCTATGTACATTCGCAAATTTAATTGAGCATGACCCCCTAAAATCCTCCACAATTTTTTCCACAAAAAATCCCCCATCCATTTCAGCTTAAAAAATTTACCCATATGCTTTCAAATTACTCCAAAATGGGATAAATACTCCAATCTGGCAACTCTTGATTAGACTGATCATTCTGGGATAACCCTAGTTACATACAGGGGATTCCCCATACAAAGTAAGTTTGTAGTAAATCTTCTATGTGATGTTTGATGTTCATAATGTGCAGGGCACAAATAATTATGATATGTATATAAAAAAGTTGAAATAAAATTAAATACCCCCAAAGAATTACTACAATTTGATTGGATATTCTAGAAGAATATATTCCTATACAGGGATCTCAATACAGTGTTAGTTTATAGTTATTCTATATATGTGAGATTATTACAGTAAAATCTTATACCTAAAGAGACATTTTATGACATTCTCCCTTAAATTAGTTTTGAAACAGTAGAGTTTAGGGTTTGCTTACTGATTCATAAGTATAAGTAATTGCACTTTGTTGAAAGTTCTAAAGTTCACATTTTAAATATGTTGGACATTCAACAATAATTAATAATAATTACCTTGTTTACTTTTATCATGGATTGTTTTTTTTTTCTTTCAAAAGTTTGAATAGCTTATTGCCTAACCTTTATCAATATCATTGAATCTTTTCTATGAAATTTTGTTTCTAGTGAATACATATTTTAATGTGTAGAGGTATTATTTTCCCAAGTTTTTGAGAATTAGTTATCTGCTTCAATATATATGTTTACACAAATGACACAGCTGATTGTATTGATTTGAGATAATGAATAAATGCTTGTTATGAGTATGGTGCAGAATTATTGAATTATGGGATCATTGGGCAGTATAGATAAAAAAATCATAAATAAATAAAAACAAAAGGCATTATTAATGATGATAATAGTCTTATTCTTTTTATTCTTATCTTCTTCTTTTTTTTTCTTTTTTTTACATGTTAGGCTTTTGGAGTGAATGGGCATTGTTTAAGCACCATTTGTGTTGTTTACAATTAGTTGACAATTGTATCTCATATAAGAAATGGAATTAAGTTTAGATAGAATAGAAATAAGAAACATTTTCATGCACTGATTTGAGTTTTGACATTAATTATCAACATAGAAATGCATTGATCAACTTACTTCCACTACTTGTGGTGAAGCCTATCCCTTGCCACTGTTAACCATTTGTATAACAAATGTAATTATGGTTACAATTCATTCACTGATGAAAGTTGTAAATGTTGGAAGATTCTACATAGTGTGTGATTAAGGCAACCTTAGACATTGTTTTAAACAGGATATGTATAATAAATTTGATGTTCATTCTATTAAGATCGCACATAATGTGACAAATTAAACATCAGTTGACTGCACAAATGTTTCAAAATGAACCCTCAAAGCATTATGAAAAAACTAGCCATCTAGTTTCTCGGATAAAGTGGTCATATGGCAACAGTGTCCTTAGAAGAACATATAACTGTAAATTCTGAATTGTATGTATGCAATAACATGTTGGACAGAAGACATTGTTGATACATTCAAAAAGCTTATTTTGGAAGTGCCCATAAGCAAAATGGAAAAAATGCTTTGCAGTTGAATAAAATATTTTGAGAACTAAAGTCATTATTAATGACACATGCCCTCTTATATTTTATTCATGTATATTTGTTCAACTAATTTTGTATTAATGTTTTTCACTTTATTATCTCCCATCAGCTTTCAATACCTTATGACTTATGGAGTTATTCAATATAATGGCACATACTGAACATGTTTTAATTCTATTATAAAAATCTATCAATAATGTTTTCTACTTTTGGGTAATTTTGTTGATTTGATCTTTTGTGACATATTTTTCTATTTCTGCTTCTGTTTTGTTATTATATTATACCTGTTATTATATTAATAACCCTCATGTCCCTTTTCTCTTCTCTTTTGCTTTGTAAGTATTGAAAGCTTTAATTAGCTAATTTATATTGGATAAGTTAATCCTGTAAATAGTCTGTGTTGTGTCAAAACATAA